CACACTAATAGACACACAAAAACAACATACAAACTCACACACGAACACACACAGTATGCAAACACACAAATAAACACACACGATATACAAACACACATATAAACACACACATTAACACACACACACACACACACACACACACACACACACACACACACAGACACACACACATGCACAAACACTCTCACACACATAAACACAAATCACACAAAAATACTTTTTCTGTTTCTATAACCTTAAAACGTCCTCAAGATATTTTTCTCGCATTCCTCACAAAAAATGTCCCCGGCGTAGAAATCCCTGCATAATATCACCTCTTTCCTTTAAAATTATTTCAAGGTTATGAATATTATACCTTAAGGACTTAAGTAAAACGCTTTTAGCTTCATCATCATCATCATCGTCACTATATCAGATAATCTTTTCCGATAAAAGGCAATCGTGATGTTACAGTTCATAACATTTATACTACAACAGGCGACTGCTACTAGCCTACTATCATTCTAAATATAAAACAAACCAAACAAATTTCCCAAACTGCACCAACCCTATTGTTCATTCATTCCCTTCATTGTTGAAGAAACGTTTCGTTTTAGTATGCCAAGTACATTTTTCATCCCTGAACGTTCACATAAAGTGTCTTCGCCGTTAGCTTAAACGTTAATAAAAAACGACAAATATGCTCTTAAAAATTCGAAAGAACGAAAGAGGACCTGCCGTGTTTCTGCCTTGGGGCACTTTTTAAAGCTCCCGAGACGCATTTCACGGTTGTGAATTTGGCTACCTGGAAGTTTTTTAGGGGGAGAGAAAGTATGCAAAGCAACCGAAAAGTAGTGTTAACTAGGTAAAAACAGAAGATAAAGAGAATAATAAATAAGCTAACTGCGCTTTGTCAACAGAGACGAGCTGGCTTCTTGGAGCAGTTTATCGGATTGCTCAGCCTTGTCGGTGGAGAAAGGAGAAAAGGGAAACAGAGTTGCAGTAAAGGTAATGTTGTTTAAAGTGAGAGCCTAATAAAGAAACAGAAAGTTGTTGCCTTCAGTGGGCACCGAAGAGTGATTTTAGCAGCTAAAGTTGTTTTTTCTTATTTCGGTATATAACTTAAGTTTTGGTGTGTTCAAAGGGAGATAGAATTGAAATAAAGGTATTGTTGTTTTACAATTAGAGCCTAATACGGAGCCAAGTGTTGTTACCTTCAGTGGCATCGAAGAGGGGCTTTTGTGGTAAATTCTTTTTCTTTTCTTATTTCAGTATAATTTAAGTTTTGGTGTGTGCAACGACCGTGTCTCTGGCCGCTGAGGGTACACACAGAGTGTGTGGGCGTGCCGAGGGTGCCGGAGAAAGGTGGAAAAGATTCTAGTAGGAACTAAACAAAAAAGAGTTACACTAGGACGATAAGTTGTGATTTACAGTAACAATTTTCAACATCTTAGTCTCTTTTAGTCTGGTGGCATCTGTGATCCACTCCCTCTCCCATTCTCTCTCTTTCTCTTTCCCTCGCTCTATCTATCTATCTATCTATCTATCTATCTATCTATCTATCTATCTATCTATCTATCTATCTATCTATCTATCTATCTATCTATCTATTTATCTCTTCT